TTAAAACAGAGGACAAGAAGACCTACTTTACAGAGTCACAAGACAACACACACACACACACACACACACACAACACACACACACACACACACACACACACACACACACAACACACACACACACACACACACACACACACACACACACACACACACACAACACACACCAGAATGGTTGAGTTCATAATCTCTCTCTCTCTCTCTGCTTGATTAACAGTTTGACTCGTTCATTAAGAAGACGGTGGTTAATTAACCCCCCTCCTACCCCCCCCCCCCCCCCCCCCGGTGGTCTCCAGTCACCTCATCGTGTGTCAGTAATCGTAGTCAGCGGTTCTACATTAAAGATGATCAAACGTTAAAAGTGAGGCGTTCACGTGACGGAGGGGAAGTCAGGAGAGTGTTGTACGTTTATTTGCTCGACATAATGAAACTGTTTGTTGTTCACATGTTTGCATATTATGATGCATCTCTGCACGACTCACGCTGCTGACGAGCAGCTCAACGCCCGGCGACAACACTGAAGAGGAAGGCTGAGGAAACCCTAACCCTAAGTTATCTGTGGATGTTCACCTGCTGTCCTGTGTCCTCAGTGTGTGTGTCTGCAGAGGCGACCCCCCACTGTGTAAAAACCACAGACTGTAAATATGAATGTTTGAAGCCTGAGTGGCGCCCCCCCTCTGTTCCTGCAGGGGGCGCTGGAGTCCCATCGATGGCGCCCCCCGTCTGTTCCTGCAGGGGGCGCTGGAGTCCCATCGATGGCGCCCCCCGTCTGTTCCTGCAGGGGGCGCTGGAGTCCCATCGATGGCGGTCTCCATGCTGGAAATGCTGTCTCAGTCTAACTTTCAGTCAACCTAACGACAGGCTGAGAGCTGGAGCTGAGGCGGGTTTTAAACCTCCTGACAAACCGTTACACCGCGCCCACCTGTCAATCAGGTCAGCTACACGCCTTATTGTGAATAACTCTTATCCTTCATCAAATCAAAACTGATGAGTCATCAAAACATTCACCCCCCGTACAGTGTGTGTCCATCCAGACATGAGCTAATCACACCTATTTGGTTTTTTGAACCAGGCTGTAAACATGTTCATCTCTGCTGTAAAAACAGGCTTTTTAGAATGGGTGTGTATGTGACTTCCTGTGCCTCTGCAGCCAGCCTCTAGTGGACACTCCAGGAACTGCAGGATTTTACACTTCAGCATCCGCGTCATGTTTTTTTTTTTTTTTTTGGGGCTTTTCGTGCCTTTAATGCAGAGAGAGGACAGTGGATAGAGTCAGAAACCAGAGAGAGAGAGGACAGTGGATAGAGTCTGAAACCAGAGAGAGAGAGGACAGTGGATAGAGTCAGAAACCAGAGAGAGAGAGAGGACAGTGGATAGAGTCAGAAACCAGAGAGAGAGAGAGGACAGTGGATAGAGTCAGAAACCAGAGAGAGAGAGGACAGTGGATAGAGTCTGAAACAAGAGAGAGAGAGGACAGTGGATAGAGTCAGAAACCAGAGAGAGAGAGGACAGTGGATAGAGTCAGAAACCAGAGAGAGAGAGGACAGTGGATAGAGTCTGAAACAGAGAGAGAGAGAGACAGTGGATAGAGTCAGAAACCAGAGAGAGAGAGAGGACAGTGGATAGAGTCTGAAACCAGAGAGAGAGAGGACAGTGGATAGAGTCAGAAACCAGAGAGAGAGAGGACAGTGGATAGAGTCTGAAACCAGAGAGAGAGAGAGAGGACAGTGGATAGAGTCTGAAACCAGAGAGAGAGAGGACAGTGGATAGAGTCTGAAACCAGAGAGAGAGAGAGAGGACAGTGGATAGAGTCAGAAACCAGAGAGAGAGAGAGGACAGTGGATAGAGTCTGAAACCAGAGAGAGAGAGAGGACAGTGGATAGAGTCAGAAACCAGAGAGAGAGAGAGACAGTGGATAGAGTCTGAAACCAGAGAGAGAGAGAGGACAGTGGATAGAGTCAGAAACCAGAGAGAGAGAGGACAGTGGATAGAGTCAGAAACCAGAGAGAGAGAGGACAGTGGATAGAGTCAGAAACCAGGGAGAGAGAGGACAGTGGATAGAGTCAGAAACCAAGAGAGAGAGAGGACAGTGGATAGAGTCTGAAACCAGAGAGAGAGGACAGTGGATAGAGTCTGAAACCAGAGAGAGAGAGGACAGTGGATAGAGTCTGAAACCAGAGAGAGAGAGGACAGTGGATAGAGTCAGAAACCAGAGAGAGAGAGAGGACAGTGGATAGAGTCTGAAACCAGAGAGAGAGAGGACAGTGGATAGAGTCAGAAACCAGAGAGAGAGAGAGGACAGTGGATAGAGTCTGAAACCAGAGAGAGAGAGGACAGTGGATAGAGTCAGAAACCAGAGAGAGAGAGAGGACAGTGGATAGAGTCTGAAACCAGAGAGAGAGAGGACAGTGGATAGAGTCAGAAACCAGAGAGAGAGAGAGGACAGTGGATAGAGTCAGAAACCAGAGAGAGAGAGGACAGTGGATAGAGTCTGAAACCAGAGAGAGAGAGGACAGTGGATAGAGTCTGAAACCAGAGAGAGAGAGGACAGTGGATAGAGTCAGAAACCAGAGAGAGAGAGAGGACAGTGGATAGAGTCAGAAACCAGAGGAGAGAGAGGACAGTGGATAGAGTCTGAAACCAGAGAGAGAGAGAGGACAGTGGATAGAGTCTGAAACCAGGAGAGAGAGGACTGGATAGAGTCAGAAACCAGAGAGAGAGAGAGACAGTGGATAGAGTCAGAAACCAGAGAGAGAGAGGACAGTGGATAGAGTCTGAAACCAGAGAGAGAGGACAGTGGATAGAGTCTGAAACCAGAGAGAGAGAGGACAGTGGATAGAGTCTGAAACCAGGGAGAGAGAGCGGGGAACGACATGTGGAAAGAGGCCACGGGTGGAAGTGAACCCGGGCCTACTGCTCAAGACGAGAGTCTCAACACATGGGACGCCCCCCCTAACCATTGTGCCACCGTGGCGCCCCCCGCTTCATGTTTAAACACCAGAGGTTGCTGCTTGGTTGAAAACCTCTGAATCATCTCAATGACTCCTCCCAGAGACAGTATGACTTAGCTAACGGGCTGCTAACATGCTAACATGCTAAATCCCTCTGATTCATTTGTCGATGTTGATGAAAGTGAGTTTGTAGGATTAAAAAAAACATGTTTATGGAGTTTCTGAATCTGAGTAATCTGCTAAAATATCATCAGTATTCATCATCAATATTTATCAGTTTTTTTCCACAGATAAATTAAGCCCCTCCCCTATGGCTTCAGGTCGTTTCAATCCATCCGTTAAGAAATGCACTTCCTGAGTTGGACACTAGGAGGCATCATCCGTAGATCTATGGACACCAAACGAGGTGTAAGGGAGACAGCACCTCTCAGATGTTAATCTTATTTCTCTTTTATTTACTGCGGTAAACCCTCAGAGAGATCCGTCATGGCTGAGTGACAGGCGTGATATGGTTTCCATGGTAACGCGTCAACATTTGTTGTTTACTTGAGGTTAAACTGAACCGACGTCCCTGTGGGGGCGGGACAAACTCTTCTGATCGCTTTCTCAAAACTTTAATCATCTCTAAGGATCTGATTTCTATATCAGAGTTTTTTTTCATGAATACGTATCTTAGTGACATCTTAATATCTGTGTGTGTGTGTGTGTGTGTGTGTGTGTGTGTGTGTGTGTGTTTCCTTGTCTAGTGGCTGCAGTTGTCTGATTTGCATCGCTCTGCAGATACACAAAACATCCTTTTCATCGGCCAGCGGAAAACACACCGTGTCTGCAGGCAAATCAGCTGATCTCAAACAGAGTGTGTGTGTGTGTGTCCTCTCACTGTGTGTGTGTGTGTGTGTGTCCTCTCACTGTGTGTGTGTGTGTGTGTCCTCTCACTGTGGTGTGTGTGTGTGTGTGTGTGTGGGGGATGACAGTTAGGAGGGGTGTCCCACACAGACCTCCTCCCTCTTGTTTATAATGTGAGTAGACTATTACTGAAAACTAGGCTGCAAAAAGAGTGTGTGGTTGTGTGTGGTGTGTGTGTGTGTGTGTGTGTGTGGTGGTGTGTGGGTGTGTGTGTGTGTGTGTGTGTGTGTTGTGTGTGTGTGTGTGTGTGTGTGTGTGTGTGTGAGGAAGTTCATGCTCGGTGTGTTTAGTATTTAAAGAGTCCTGATAAGACGGGGGGAACGACACCTGAATAAACATGTTTGTGTGTTTATTGAATCATCTTTGCTTCCGACTGCCAAAAAACAACAACAACAACAACAACAACAACAACGGCTCTGTGTGATGATGTCATCATTCTGCATCAAAGAGAAACACAGCTTCCTGTTTCACTCTCCGTTTACTAAAGTTCAGTAAAGGAGGTCCTGTCAATCAAATAGATCCCTATCATCCAATCAAAGTGCTCCATTTTTAAACCCTTCGTCTGTTTCTCTCTCAACGACAGAACTCTGTGCAGGGTGTCTCACAGGTAAGGAGGCCCGAGGGGGGTTAAGGTTGTAATGTTGACATGTCTCCAGTAGGGGGCAGCACAGATCAGATCACCTGAAGTGAACCTGACAGTCGAAGGTTTTCTGTTTCATCTGGTTAAGCTTCATTTTAGAGGATTGTTTGAATTCTATGAATCAGCACATCTTATTGGTCACATCCTTAAACATGGGGGTTTGTTAGTGATCTGTGATTGGCGGGTTGGACGGGAGCATTTTGTAGAGTTGGAGCTGGAAAGGCCCGACAACACTGAGATCAGCTGAGTGTGATGCTCGTCACTCTTTCATTCACAGCCGTGGATTCTGTGACAGTGGGATGAAGTCAGGAGTTTCTCTTTGAGTAACAAGCGAGCGATGAGATGAATCTGTTCTCGCTGTGAGAAGGGAACGACTTCAAGACCGCCCTCTCTTTCTATTTGACTGTTTTAAATGTTTCTGGTCTCTTATAGAGAACGTGCAGACGACATAACGATCACGTCGAGCAGCAGATTAGTGACAGGATGTCGATCCGTCGGTCCTACCTTTCCCTGAGCTGAAGAAGCAGTCCATCTCCACGCTGGAGCGAGAGTGGGACACACACAGAGTGGAGCTGGGGACCAGTCCCTCCTGGGGCGGGCTGCGGTCGGTGGTCCGGACCAAACACCAGCCGGGCCGCTCGCTCGGACGCTCCAGCAGCTCCACCGTCTGACCTGGAGAGAAGAGCAGGACGTCGGTTTAACAGTCTGACACTTTCAAAAAACATTTTCATTTCATTTCTTTGATTTGTTCTGTGTCAAAACACACAACAGAAAAAAACACACTTAAGCTCATGTACAGAAAGAAGCAGGGAGAAGAATGAATCGTTACTCAAAAAGAAAACACTAAATGTGTGGATGGTCTGTCCAAATTACAATCACTGAATGAATACCAACATAAAACAAATGTGATGATTCAGTCTTCACTTCCTCAGAAATAAGAAAGAAAACACACAAAACACCTCAAAGCAAAGAGGAGTTTCTATTTGACTTTCAAAAAGTCCCCATCACGACTTCCTCTAAATGAAACACCATTTGAAATCAGACTGAAGAACGATCACACTGACACTATGAAGCACATCTTGAACAGAACAGGGAGGATCGTCTCACCGGTGCTGACGGACATCTCGGTGCTGCATCCCGCCGTGAAGTCCTGCAGGACGACCGTCAGCTCACAGCCGCCAGAGAGCTGCGACACAAAGAGAGAGGAGGCGTTTAGTATCTGATTCTGCAAACACTCTGAGGTTACAAACACAAAACATACAAACATGTTCAACACAATATTCTGAAAGCTTCATTTGATCCTGAGCGAGTCTGTTGATCTGAGCTGTGAACCCCCCGCCTGTAGAAGAGAGAGATGAACTCCAGCCTGAGTCTGGAGGTGGGGGGGTAAGGGGGGGGTCACACAGACTTGTCGACTAGTCCAGGGATTCATAAACTTTTCAGCTTGAGACCCCAAAAATAAGGACGCCAGTCCAGAGACCAGCAGACGCTCGGGTAAACTGGAGCAGGGGTAATGTTTTTATATTGTTTTGATGTGTTGTCCATGCAGCAATTTCTCAAGTTTCTCCCTAGGGAGACGAATAAAGAAACCTTGACCCCCCCCCGTCCCCCCCGTCCCCCCCGTCCCTACAGGTGGGTAAAGCATATAATGTCACACAGAGCCACACACACACACACACACACACACACACAGGGAATCCTCCCTCTGGCTCTTGAAGTCTGCAGATTTCAAAACATGGAGGAGCTCTGTGACCTCGATGTGACTTTAGGAGAAGTCGGGAATGAATCTCGTCTTCTCTTCTATCGTCCTTTTTAAAACGAGTTCAGATCACCTTTAATGAATGAAGTGTGCGCTCAGATTCCTGACATGTTTGGCGCTCTGATGACGACGACGGGATGGGCCGGTGGTTTAATATCAGTGTTTATTGCACTCATACAGGAAGTGTAGCACACGAGTGCTTGTTGCATCACAGCTGCTGAAATCTGCTCCCTTCTCCGGTGGTTTTATCGAGAACTTCAGCAGCGACTCGTCAACATCGACTCCACTGTTGATTTTAAAACAGCTGAAGTCGTGCAGCTCCTTAAAGCTCGTGGGATCTCTCCAGCGAGTGCTGAAGCGGTTTGAAGAGCCTGAAGGTGAGAGAACGATCAGAGAAACCTCCCCGACAGCTGTTTGAGGTTTCTCTGCTGATTAAACAGAACAAAACCAACAGTGTTTGAATAAAAATGTCCGACCTCTCTTTGGTTTTATAATCATCAAAAAAACAAAGAAAAGCTGAGACGAGTGTGAACATGTCTCAAAGTGAGTCAGAGAGAACACGTTCCATCACTCTGAAATCACACACACATGTTTTTATTATGTGACCGGATTATCAGCTGGACATTTTCAGAGTCAATGATCGACACAAACTTTCAGTCATCAAGTGTTCAAAGTGCGAGCTCTGGACTTCAGTGATGCTGTTACTTAAGAACTGATTCACTGTGAAGGTGTTTCAGGGTCATAAAGCCGATGACGTTTGTCGACCTTTAGCCCAAAAAACATTAAAACACCATAAAAGCTAAAGTTGCAAATATGCAAGGTACACAAAAACAGAGGTAAAAAAATATAAAAGGCATCAATTCTATTTTTCATTATCAGACACTTTAATCCAAAGTGACAAACATCAGCGAGCGAGTATCGATAACGACAGGAAGTACAAACACACATCTGTAAGTCTGTTTAGACACACAGAGATGCTTCTTTGAATGGGTGTGTACACTTGGCTTCAATCCATTTCTCTTACACCGTCTATGATGTGTGTGTGTGGAAGGACTGCAGGTCGTAAACAAAGTTTTTTTTTTTTTTTTTTTCCTTCCCCTTGGCTTTATTTTTCCTTTTCTCTCTGTTCTGCCGTTGTCATGGAAACGTTCAGGTAGTGCGTCTGTGTGTTGAGTTAATGTGTGTGTGCAGGTAAGCAGGTGATCTTCTCCACGCTGAAGATCACCTAGCAACAACACTGACACACACACACACACCTAACCGACCAATCAAATCGTCCATCTGTGACGTCTGAGCGTTCATTGAAGGTTCTTCTCTCTCTCTCTCTCTCTCTCTCTCTCTCTCTCTCTCTCTCTCTCTCTCTCTCTCTCTCTCTCTCTCTCTCTCTCTCTCTCTCTCTCTCTCTCTCTCTCTCTCTCTCTCTCTCTCTCTCTCTCTCTCTCTCTCTCTCTCTCTCTCTCTCTCTCTCTCTCTCTCTCTCTCTCTCTCTCTCTCGCACACAGCAGCTTGTGATGGTCACATGTCGGAGCTGAGGGAGACGGCTTTAAGCAAACAGACGTTGTTTACGATCCGTGTCCAATCAGCCTTCATCGGTCTGCAGATCGTCTGAATGAAAGAGCGATGTGTTCAGGAGCTTCTTCTAAAAAATCCCTAAAAATGTTTCTGTTGCTGCAGGAAATGATTTCATCTTTACAGAAAATCAAACTCATGTTGAAACGCACTGATGCAGATGAGCTCTGTATAACGTTACCATGACAACACACAGCACGCACAGAGCAGCAGCGTTACATCAGGGTTAGGTCAGCTACACCACCACCAGGGTCTGACATCCTCCAAACACATCAGCAACCCCCCGTAGAGTCCAAGCACCACAGACCTTCTGTCAGGACTCGTTTCCATGTCATCAGTTCTGTGTTCTTCAGTCACTTGTCTCTCCTGAAGTTGGATTACTGAGACTTTAGATGGAAAGAGAAAGTTTGGTTGTTAAAAAAAGGTTTGGCTGCTTTACTACAAACCCATTCATTTCATAATTCTGTTTTTCACCTCTACAAAGTCTAAATGTAAGATATTTGTTTTGAGGAGTCAGGTAGGAGAGCTGCACACTCAGCAGAAGGTGATATTAGTTCTCTTCTGGGTGTTCAGATTGTTGGTTCTGTTGGTTCTGTTGTTTTAATGTGAGCAGGAGAGAATGACGCCTGACTTCTGTTTCTCTTCTGCCGGGAGAGGCCGCGCTGCGTGCTGATGTGGAAATATTTCTGGAGGATTTTTTGATGGACAGGGACCACCAACCCTGACTGGAAGGGGATTACTCCCATATGAGATGAATTTAGAAACTCACTGGATCGTCTCCAGTGTCAGAACGAGAATCATGTTCTAAAATCACAGCGCCTCACTCCAAACCAGAGAAATGAGCCTCTTGTATTTTCCAGACGGATTTAAATATTCAACAAAGACGGAGAACGCAGTAAGACGCGTTCACATGTAGAGCTTCTCAAAATGGCCGTGATAGCTAGGCCGTCGTTTTTATGAAGCTCATAAATCAGACGACTTAGGAGGTCAAATATCCTCCGTTTGATGCTCGTAGTGAAGATTAGTTAAAGTTAAAAAGAACCTTAAATATAAAACAAATGGTCAAAAGAAACTGACCCGGAGTCTGTCATACAGCGGACGTCGTCATGGAGACAAGACGCACAGTCAGCACTTTTCTGCCAAAGAAAACGCCAGGTGGATGCAGGCGCTGAGGAATATAAACAGGTTGTTTGTTGGTATGGGGGGCAGAAGACCAGTCCAACCAGTCCAGTATCATACTGGTGGATGATGACAAGAAACCAGAGACTCAGAGTACGAGGTTCAGTTTGTTTACATCTCCAGAGATGAGACGCGCTGCACGTTAACCCGGCTGCAGCTCCAACAGAAGAGAATCACCTGCACACACACTTTCTGAAACCATGAACACCAAATAACTTAAGAAACATCAACAACAACAAACGACTCCTCATGAGCACGATGTCTCTGTATCTGAAGGTGAACGGTTGACCTCTGACACGTCAGAAACATCTCAAACAACGAGGAGTTCATTCTGAGTTTTCTCTGCACTAAGCGAGCGACATGTTGGTATTCAGAAAGTTAAAGGCACAGTTTGTAGATTCCACCACCAGGGGGCTCTCAATCAAAACAGTAACAAAAGATGGCGTCGAGGCTAGTGGGGAATCATCACCCGATAGAAACAAACTCAGAGCTGTAGTCATGACGACCGGGTGAAACCGACCTGAGGAAGAGAATATGTTTACAGACGAGCTGACGTATCCGAGTAGACGGCAGCTTTCAGGAGCAGCTCACGCTTCCTTATGCGAGACCACCGAGACCACCTTGTTAAGCGGACTCGGGCACAGTACCCCGGTACGGGACGTTTATGTTCACGCTGATCAAATGAACCAGACTTTCAGATCAAGTGTATTCTGATCCAGGCCCGGGTCCCTAATTTAAAACTTTAATGTAAAAACTGGAATTGAAGAGTTTTAAATATCCCAGTTCAACGTGTCAGTTTGTGAAGTAAAAGCTGAAATCTGACACAGTGCAAAGGTCAGTCATATACCCGTCTCTAAGAATTACATAATGAGGTTGTGTGTGTGTTATTGTTTATGAGCAGTTCTGTGGACGGAGGTCGTCTTCAAATCCAGGTGAAAACATTGAAATAATGACATCATCACATTCAGCTGTGTCAAAGTCAAACTAACACCTTCAGCTCGTCCACATAAATCAGAGCTTCAGTCTGCTGCTCACACAGTTAACAGCCTGCTTCCTGTCTGACTGTCTGCACACACACGCCCTGTTTAACCATTAACCTCCTCCGTCACACAACACACACACACACTCCCACACAACACACACACACACACACTCCCCCTGCTGCAGTCAGGCTGAGTGAAAGTCAACAGCAGCATGATCTGAATCAGACCAACAGCTCAGTTTTACTCTCCAGATTTAAAACTGAATGAAGATTGAATACAGAGTCAGAGAGCAGGAGGACGACGACACATCTCCAGTCCTCACTGGAGCAGAATCATCTGCTCATGAACCAACAGGTCGACATCGAGGCAGCAGAGGAAGAGCTCTGTTTTCACATCATGTGGAGATTTAGAGAGGAGTTAGGAGGGACGCTGTGTCCTGATCCTAAATGTTTAATAAAAGTTCTTTAAACATACAGAGCAGGAGAGGAGGTGGGAGTGAATATCAGGTCAGGTGGGTATCAAACGTATCTGATACCGTATTATTCAAATCTTTAGTTAAAGTCTTAGTGAAGTTTTCACTAACTGATGATGTGAGTTTGAACTTCTCTGCAAAGATTACCAAGAACGTTTGGTGTTAAAGTGAACGTGCAGAACATCATTTGTATTGTCATGAAAAAGCTGCACTGCAGAAACTCA